AGTATTAGCATGTATGGAAAAGGCAACTATTCTCCCCGGCATGCACAAATCTATAACAGCTGCCACATCAGTCATGTTCACAAGATGCGAAGGCTGCAGCATTGTTCCAGCGTGGCAGGCTGGGCAGTGTGTTGGGAGTCAAAATACTTCATAATAAAAACTGGCAGGGAAGCAGATTGAGATCAGAAAACCAAAGTTCAATGCTGTCTAGAACTGACAATGCAGAATAAAGCAGTGTAATGAGACAGAGTTCTTGCAGGTAAGGAATGGGAGGTATCATCTTCCCCCTAAAATGCAGTAGTTGTGGCACCGTGGGACACGAAGCACAAGCAGATTGAAGTAAACAAAAATGTGAAGCAATATGAGTGCTTTATTTAGCTTGAAAAATGTACAATAACAAAACTGAAACACTGTATTCTAAGAAAACTTGCTTTTTCTTCAGAAGGCTGTGAACTTCAAGTTCTTCTAAACTTTGTGTCCAAGTGAATGATGTCTACTCTGCATTAGTCGAAATAACACTGAAATCTTCAAAACACTACGAGGAAACTGGCCTAGATCAGTAGATTCTGACCCTTGTGCTTCATAGGGTATGTCTGAATGGGACAGTGTGCTGACTCCTTAAGTTCTGAGTCTGAACTGTGGTAAATACTAGTGTAAGGAGCAACAGTGTTTCATGAACAGAAGTTCTTGTCACTATTCACTTTTATGGTAAATGTGAATCTGATTTGATCAGTGTACCTTTTTTAAGCTGTTCTAAGAATTTGTTAAGGTACAAGCTTGTGAGTTTTTCCTGCATGATGGAAATTACTTAATGAATGTCCTAGGTTATAAGCAGTAGGTGATGATTTTGTTTTACTTGACACCTATTTTCTGCTGAGATCAGCAGCAGGTTGACTCTGTTGCATCCACTCCTTTTCACTCACATTCTTTCTTTTCCACCTGAGTGAGGCCACCAAAACCAATTCCTTTGGGACCAAAATTCTTTGCGTAGCAAACTGCAAAAGAAAGAAAAGGGTCAAGAGTGTTTTGAATGCTTGCCCAAGTGGCTTTTGGATTTGGTACTCATTCCAAAGGTAAGTTAGTACAAAGAAGGAAATCTGAGGTGGTCTTTCTCAAAAGTGTCAAGAAATTCTAGTAATGAAAAATATTTGAATTAAACATGTTGCATCTGAGTTTCTGAAAAAGAAGTTGGAAAAGTATGTAATTAAAATTTGAATAACAATTTATTTAAATATGGTCTTCTGTCCATGCAGACTGAGCATCAGAGATGTTCAAAGGAGGTTAGAAGAACAAGAGTGTGGAGCAGGTGACTTTCTATGATTGCTTGGGCAATCCAGTGTGACTCTATTGCCAAGTATGCTCATACTTATTTATCACAACTTCCCTATATTAGTAGCGGTCAGCGTATTTCTCCAAATACATTTGTTTGATCTCTTGCTGTTGTCAAATTGTGCCCAATTTCAGTATTCTCTAGGATTCTCAGTAGTTCAGCCTAGGATATAAAAACTTAGCATATCTCCTGGAGCTCTTTCCAAGAAATCTGCAAGATTTGTTGATCTGAGGAGAATATCTGTGTGTAATTCAGCATGAATGTGTTCATCTTCTGTGTTATTAAAGTATAGGGAAAGCATCACTTTTGAAGTCTTAGTGGCTGGAAAACCAACTAGGACCATGATCTTTAAAGATCTGTCTGTATCTTTGTTATTAAGCATGCAGCAAGGCAAATCACGATGGTAATATGGGTCTACAAGGAACAATTCTTACCTTTACAGTAGAGCTCTCCGTCTTTGTCTGTAACATTTGTAGACTCTAAACTCTTTCCACAAATAGCACAGCGGAAGCATGTTTTATGCCAAGGCTGAGGGAATGAAGACAATTTGTTGTTATGCTACAGAAGATGCACAGCTAGCAGATGCAAGAAACAGCTGTTGCTTTTTGTTGCATGAAGAGGTTAAAATTGTCTTCTTGGGTTTATGACTTACAATTTTAGTACTTTTAGATTAGTTTTTCAAATTATTATCCCACTTTAATATCTTACCTAGTGAGCTTCTTGTTGATGGAGGTCTGGTAAAAATCAGAGAGCTATAGATAGTGCTCTCATTGGCCACATCCTTCGTGCGTGGAGATAATGAGTGAGAGTTCCTAGAGCAGAAGGCCAGCATATATCGCACAGTGCTGGTTTTTTCTAGTCATGGAATCTCTTTAATTAATTTGTAGTGGCAAATGCAGGTATATATTTGAATTATAACTATCCCAAGAGGTGTGAGTAGGATGACAGTGGAAGCTGAAAGGGAAGGGTTGTCCCTCAGACCTTGACAAGATGCAGAATGTTGAAGAAGGCTTGTGGCAAAGCATAACTTCAACTTGAAATCAAGTCAGTATGTTAGACATTTTGCTTATTCAACCCTATATTTTCTTTATCAACACCAGGTAAAAATCTTCAAGGATTGATTAGCTCTAGCTAATCACCATGAAAAAAAATTTGGTTGTTTTTTTTTTTCCTAGTGCTTTAGTAACTACTTACTTTTCCTCCTCCCATTATCTTCTCTGCAGCATACACCGATTTGCCGCACCGGGGGCATTTATCCACATCAACGATCTTTTTGGCAAACTTTGAAGGATTAGTTGGTGTAGAAGGGCGAGCAGACTTTGGTGAGCCTCTAAAACAGAAGTTTTCTGTGTTATAAAACATTGCTCAAAATGTTATCTTCACTCTAGAAATTTGATTTTTGTGGTTGTTGTTTCATTTTTTGTTTTGTTTTGTAAGGGGTAGAAACATTCTTACTGGTTAAGGGCATGGAATCATTAAGGTTGGAAAAGACCACTAAGATTATCAAGTCCAGCGTGGAAAGGAAGGGTCACAGAATCAGAAAATCATGTTGGTTCAAAAAGACCTGTTATATTGCACTCCGTGTTACATAGTTAAAAAATGAATGCTGCACCCGCTGTTATTGCCCATTTTGGACTCAGCGCATGAAGCTGACAACTGCTATCATGAAAAGTGAATTCTGTTCTATTGAGAGGCCAGTGAGGAAAAACAAGCAGAGGACCTCCACTCTTGCTGCTAGTATCAGTATAGAAGAGATCTTGAAAGAGAAATGGAGGGGAAAAAAACTCTAGATTTTGCACGTGGTTGTGTTTTTTTGTTTTCTTGTTTGTTTTTTTCTGTTGCTGCAAGATTTTGACAGGGCTCGTAGCTGTTCTGAAGTCAAAAGCATCAGACAATTGGCTTTGTTTTGTATTTCTGGACCCTGTGGCTTATGTCTTTGTGCTGGCTTAGTCATTCACAGAACTACTTTAGAATTACCAGACTGGTGGACTGCAGCAGGTCATTAAGTCACCAGGACGTGGCAGCTCTCGATACAGAACTCTGCCCACAGTGGGTGTGTATTTTACAAGGGGTACAATTCAGCAGTTCAGATTTTATTTCCTGCACAGCACATTTGCTAATTGGTTTCTTTACAGTGATACCAGCAGAAAATGTTGGCTTTGAAATGTACAGATTTGGGAATAGAAAAATACTACAAAAATGTACTGTCAGGTGTAATTACATGCAGCTGAAGCTGTTTGAAGATGGTATCTCAAGGGAATGCCTTTGTTCAGTCATGTCCTCCATGTGTTTGTAAGAGTTGTACAAGCCACAGGGAGGGTTTAGAAACATTATTTCTCTGTTGAGAGGAGGGTTAATGTTGTGTGGTGTTGTTGTTGTTCTTTCTCTAATGGTAAAACCTAGCTGTATCTTAATTCTGATGGAGTGAAGAACATCCTTGTGTTCTGTGGTGAATGTGGTTTTACCACTGTGTACCAGCACAGTGGCAAATCACAACTGAAAACTGGTAAATTACCATGTCCACCAAGGAAAGGTTGTGGGAGATTCTGCTCTGCTACTTGTGCTACATGTTGGTGGGAGAGCAGAGCAGAACACCTGAAATAGCCCTGAGTGACAGGTAGCATCAGACAGCCACACGGTGCTGCTGGTAGGGTTGGACTCACTGTTGCAGGTTTAGGCCCAGATGGTCCCCGGTGTCAGTGCTGAGACATCCAGCTCCTTGCCCAAAGCCAACACCTTTGGGGCCGTATTTTCTCCCATAGCAAGTTTTGCAGTAGATTTCAGATTCGTGAGCTGCCACTGTGGTGCTGTCCAGAGCCTTCCTGCAAGCCACTACGGAAAGGAAGAGGGGTGTGATGAAACATCTGCATATTCCAATATGAATGAATGTGGGTCAGAATAATTACAGTTGTTGCTGATTTTTGTTTATCTTCAAAACTGTAGGAGAGGAAGGAATGTTAGTGCACTGTCTGCAGCAACCCAGTGAAGTTTTATGTGGAGGTCAGTCAGAATCAAGCAGGGCACTCTTTATTTATGTAGTTGCATTTCTTTGGGCTGTAGTGCCATGGGGAAAAGCGACCCCGAACACCTGATGGTTTCAGCTCCATTAGATGTCTAGAATGACAAGGTTCTGGTGTTGGAAATTCTGAGACCACAAGGAATGCCCTCTTCGTTGTTCTTGTTGCGGAGAAATGCTTTGTGGCTTACCTCACCAGAAAAGGTCCTGAGGACCTGGGGACAGAACGTGCCGTGGCAGTGCCATGCACTTAGTGGAGTACAAGTTGTACCCTCTGTGTCACTGCTTTAAATCTAGCCTCTGCTTGAATGGACCTAAAGTCCTGGAATGCTAGCAGCTGCTTGCCTGGGATCTTGGTAGGCATGTGTCCTTTATCTGAGAGGCACAGATGGCACTTGAAGCCAACAGACATTGCTAAGGCCACTCTCGTGTCCTCTGATTCTCCTCAGACGGGCATGGAAGGCAGGTTAGTCTCTAAGTTCTCTCGGGCGCTTTGCAGATCTGAAACCTGATCAGCCTTCAATGAGTGGAATTCTGTTACCAGCAAGTGCATCTCCTTGCTGCTTACGCCTGGAAACCGAGATGATAACAAATGGGAAAAAATAATAGTGACACTCTTCATGTGTTTGGTGGCTGCATACACTGCGCTGTTTTGGGAGCTGAGTACGTGGCAGCCCCCACCCCATCAAGAGAGATGAGGCTTTCAGTGACCAGTGCCTACAGAAAGTCAGGGTTCTGTAGCATGCTCTAAAAAAGTAGCACTGTTTACAAATCAGTCACTGCATCAACAGTGATCGGTAGGGATGGGAGGGGGATGGTAAAAGGGAAAGTGTTCTCCTATTCTTTGAATAAGCGTGTGTGCCACTGAGGGGTGCTGATAGCTTGGGAAATAAATTGTGAGAGTGATATAACACCAACCTGTGAAATGCACAACTATGGAAAACAGTTGGAAGTTCACTCAAGTCAGAATTTAAGGATCTAAGGCAATATTGGAACCAGTGCAGCTTTACTTCTATCACAGTACTGTGTAGAGGGGAATGCAATTTGCATGGAGCTCTTTAATTAAAAGGAATAAAATGAGGGGCTTCTGTAAATGTGCAAACTCGATCACTTTGTGGTGCTGTCTCTTCAGCTTTGAGAAGATAATTTTGTTTGCTGAGGGAGTTAGAGGATGATGGAAACTCTAGCAGTAAAGTGTTTCTATTCCTGTCACTGTAGGGGTAGAGTATCAATTCACCACAACAGATGGAGCAAAAGCCCTTGAAGTGCTATTGTTGAAATAGCTTTGGGACCTGTCACCTGCCAGCAGATAGCAGGCACTGAGGGCTTTCAGGTTTGTGGCATGAAATCCTGCCAAATGTCCATCACGGCTGCGCTGTAAGCAAAACCTGACAGGGAAACAAGGTGGGCAAACTGCAGGCTGTATGGGAACTAAGGTTGACTGGAAAGAAGCTCTTTACACGTCTGTGAGGTGAAGTTAGGGACATGATTGTATCATTCAGCTCGTCAGTTTCTTGCTGTGCCAACAGGTTGTCTTGAAAAAGCTGTTTGTTTTAGTGGGTCAAATACAATATAATCTCAATTAAATTGATTTTGGTTTTGTACCTGAGATCAGGTGTAGAGAATATCAATTTTTTGTGTGTGCTGAGAAATAAAATCCCGTAATTGACTCACTAAAAAGCCCGTGAACATGGTATGTGATGCTGAAGGATCCAGTCCAAAGCTGGTGGCTAGTGTTTATGAATCAAGGAAAAAGAAAGCCAATTAACATACCTGTTACCACCCATGCTTTGCTGCATCCTTCATTTTTTGACCTAAAATTCTGCTGGGATTACTTTTTTTTAAGTATCTGACCTTTTGATGAGTTAGTTCACACTCAGGGGTCCAATGAGGAAAAAAACAAAAGCAGTAGACCTAATGAGTGTGTGGTATTTATCACAAGCCATTTAGAAAAGATCATTTATATCAAAAAGGAAGCTTAAACTTGTTCCAGTATTAGGTACCTGAGAATTTATATGGGAGGGAAATATCATTAACTATGACCCAACAGAACAGCTGTTTATTTTTATTAGACAAGAGTCTACTCATTTGACTTTTCCTTTCATATACCTTAGTATCACTGAATAAAGCATGTGTCAATTCAAGATTTTCTAATAATTAGCATGTTTGCATTCAGAGTGTCTGCAAAGCATTTAGCTATCTTTAGTCCTCAGCAAATTGTTTATTCTCTTCACTGAAGATGAGTGGGGTTGAACTGATGGTGCCTTCTTGCTTATTTTTCTAGTGCAAGCTCATCCACAGAGAAAGATGCCTGCCCAACATCAGAGGTGTGCGGGGAAGAGTAAGTGAAATGGGAATATCTGGAATGTGGGTTGGAGGTGCTTGCAGATGGTGGTGAGAGATATTGTTGATAGAGAGAACTTTTCTGTGTGAAATGATATTTTGGGGGATGATCCATAAAAGTAATGTCCCCCAATAAGACTGACTTCTGTCTCAAGAGCGCTGGTTAAGTTCTTGAAGGCTTTTTGGTTTGAAACTTGTAGCGTGCTACCTCGTGGGACAAAAGTTAGCACTCTGGTATCCCTAACAAAAAACATCTAGTGTGTGCTTCACAAAGGAGAAGCCAGGATCCTGAGAGAGGTGTGGCTCAGGGGGAAAGGGTTATTGAGAACTGATGAGGAGTTGCAGACTGGCCTTTCAGAAAACTGGATGATGCTATTGAGAAGTTATGGTTGTTTTATGTCCTTCAGTTGCTTAAGGAATGTGACACAGGTTTTTTTCTTTAGTAAGTGTTGCCTCTGAGGTTCAACCAGTTATCCTTACAGATGAGGAGCCCTCAAAACTGACTTTTTAGAGTCAGTTTTAATTAAAACACTGCAGCTGAACAAACTTAGTTAAGTCTTGGCTCCCTCCCTTTGTCCCCTCCCTTGTGTCAAAGGCAGTACCATAAACATAGCAGTGTATGGTAAGAGTATTTTCTCTGGCCAAATAGGATCTCTAAGGTTCCTAGAGAGTGTCAGCCCAGAGTCAGTCTCACTGTGCTGTTCTCCAGGAAGGATGGTTAGTGTGTGCCTGCTCTCTGCTTTGAGCTTTCTCAGTGGTAAGATGCATGAACCTCACAAATCTTCCCTCTCTGAAGTTTGCTCTGGTGCTGGTTGTTTCTACCATTCTTTACACTGCTTGAGCTGTCTTAAGACCTGCTCTAAATGTACAATGAGCAAACAGGTTGAGCAAGTGTGAGCATCTTCATTGCGAATCTTCTTGGATGCAAGGAGTACCAAAGGAAGTATACTAGCTGTAGTGGAAATAGCTGAATTACATGGCTTTAACTTTGCACTTACTGCAGAGGAAGCACGTCTTGTGAAAACTCCTTCCATTGCACTGAATTTCCTCAGCATGGTACACTGTCTTTTCACAGGCACCGCATTTGGCTCCACCTCCCCAGTTAGGCATCCTGGTATGTGAAGATTTATGGTTTATGGTACCTAGAAAATCAAACTCAGTGAGTAAATCCAATAGAAAAAGTGATATTTATTTACTTATTTCCCTTGAACTGCTATTGCCAGGTAACCCCTAGCTAGGATCTGCTCATGTGAATTGTACCATGATACTTGCAGACTGTCATTGAGCATTCTCAGTGATGTGTATAATGGCAATTTTCTCTGTCAATGTGAGTCAATTTGTGCACACCATCGAGTTAATATCTGAACCAATTCCACCATGAAGCTGAACAACACGACATTATTACTGAGGACACTGTAATAGAACCAAGTTGGTCAGTGAGCTTCAAGACCTCTGATGCACAGCTGTCATAAAGTAGTGACTGGGGCTTTCATTTGTCATTTGTTAGAAACCTAAACGTCTGAGAGAAAGAGAGCTTCCTATTCCAGTGGCTATGGGAGTGACTTGCCCAAGGTCATGTGTCTCTGAGTGCAGTGTCAGAGCCAGGAGCTGAGTGTAGGTCACCAGACTGTGCTCAGTAAGTGCCCCTGATGATTGTGCTATCATGCAGCTGGAGCAGCTACAATCTACGGTTTGCCCTTCTGTTTTCTTATTTGAGTCACTGTTTCTGGAAAGTCTGGGACGTCATCTGGTCATCTGCATGTCCTGTTATCAGGCTGTTGAAGCTCCTGGCTCGAGCCACCTCTGTCCTTCTTGGAAAACCAGTCACTTTCTTATTATAGGTCTTTCAAAGTCTGCTGGTCCCATTTGGATTTGATTAAACCCACCACTGGATGTTCTTAATTAAGAAAAGGATTTTGAATGCTGAATCAAGCCTTCCTGTGATGCGATGTAAAAGAGTGGAATTTGTCATGGTAGTAATGTAACAGCAGTTACTGAAAACAGCCTGAGTTTTACCCGCGGTCTTACTGTGTACACAGGACACCGATGTCCTGTCTGTCATGATCTTGGTGACTTCTGTGCTGCATCTGCTGGTTTTCAGAAAGAAACGTTTTCTGTCTGCCAGCTCCACAAGCTTAACCTCGAGCTAGTTCTGGCTACTAACCCAACTGATTGTGCAATTGCAGCAAAAGGCATCACTATCCAACAGAAGGAAGGCAGGACTATGGCACAGCAAGGTGGGCACATCTGCACTGTTATCAAACCCCTATTGTCAAGATACAGGCATCTCCAAGTATATCCTCCTTGGCATTCTGGTTATTAGTGCAGCCTCACCCTGTTACCTGTGGTAGGCAGCACAATGTCATTGTGCCGCAAGGTGCAGCCTCTCATTTTTGTGATGGAACCATCTCAGCTCAATCTGACCTTAGCTGCTGTAGAACAGCCATGCCATTAAGCTGTTTCAGACTATCAGTCAGTTCCCTTGCTGCTCTTACAGCTATGAAGCACTAGTGATGCATGGGAGAGAAAACCCCAGCTTGCCTTGAGCTGTGCTTATCTGCAGTGGAACGTGTCAGAAGCAGAAATGTGATGTAGCTGAGGTAACTGTATGGAAGGAATGGATTACAAATTTGTTTTCTTCTTCCTCAGGAATGTTTTTATGAAATAGCACTGTTGAAGTCTTTTTCCCATTTCTTTTAAATGGGGGAGTGGAAAGGAACAGCGATAAATATTTCACTAGGGTCAAATCTTATCTCATTCTGCCATTTTGTATCCTTTTTTTCTTTTTTTTTTTTTTTTTAAAGTGTGTTTCTATCAGTAGCATTTTTTTTCTTTAAAACAATCAAAATAATGCTTCAACCGTTTTAAAATGAGAGGGGAAGATCGGTTTTATGATTGAAAAGTCAAAGGTTTTTCCCTTTGCAGTGTTTTCTTTGAAATTGGGCTGCGTGGTGGTCCTGTACAGCTGGAGCAGCACCGAGAGCTGTCCTGGAGGAGAGTGGTTTGCACTTCTGGTGACCGGCTGTGCCCTTCAGAGGTGCAGTGTCTCTGAAACTGTGACAAAAGAATCCTTGTTGGAAACTAATTCTCATTGCATCATTTAGGAGGAAAAAGAAGTAGCCTTGGAAAGGCTGATAGCGCTTGATAGTGAGCCTTGTGCTGTTGTGGGCTGTGCTTAGACCTCTCAGAAGAACAACTGCTCCTCAGCTAATTATAGTAACGTGACAGGGCATGCACACACATTTTCCATCCTGCTTTGGCATCAACTGATGGGAAGCCATAGGAGGAAGAAGTCACAGTAAAACCTTTCTGTGAGCATTCTGGGATGCGTGCTGCAGCTCTGCTGTAGTCCTAGTGTGAGATGTTTGGCCTGAATCAATTATAAGTATGAATATAATCATTCCTTATATAACAGACAACAATAATATTAAATTAAACTGCTGTGTAAGACCACACTGAAATTTCTTATCCCAATAGCTGTCTGTGGGAAGCATCAGTGTGGTCGCAATGTGGTCCTGGTATTTAATTGCTGCTGCTGTCTCATCCCGTGACTGCCTGTCATCTAGCTCCCCCACAGTGCTGCTCACCTCACCCACACCATGAGGGTAAAGGGGTGACATCTTCCTTGCCAATATGGGAAAATAAGGGTTCTGCAAACCCTTTAGAAGCAAGAGGTTTTAAGTGATGTGGTATGATGTGGAGTGGGCAAAACTGATTGAAGGAAGCCAACATTCCTGGCTGAAGATTCTGATTTTGTCTATATCGTTCCCAATGATCTGTTACTGCTTTTTGCATAGTAATACGAAGTTCTGCTCAATGCTTCCTTGATGCATGCTTTTGGAGAAATGCAAGCTGGCATCCCCAAAAATCAGGATGTCCTGATGTTGGAACCAAATATTTAGTTGTGACTTAACAAACAAACAAAAACTCTAAAATCCCAACCCTTTCTCCCCCAGCACGATTCATGGCTTTGGGAAATGATGTCCTGCTGCACGAAGGTGCCATTCCTTTGTCCAAACCTAATGCTGTTCTATCAGCTTTTCCTTCCACATCATTCTCTCCTGCCTGTGTTCCTGTACCAAGTCTAAGCCATCACAGCTGAGCTCGGGCGCAGTATTTTGTACACATTCATGCTGTTTCTACCCCCTGATGGGAAAAACACCCAAACCCTTATATCAAATGCTAGCAGAATCCCACGTGCTGTACTTACAGTGTAGCTTGGTGTTCCTCCCTCTTCTCTTATGCCTCAAAGGATTGAACTGGAGGGATTCCTGTGCTCTTTAAATGCAGGGGCTGCTGCTGCTGGCCCTATAGGCGGGGAGGGGAGGGGAAGGAGAGAGGGCTTTGGGGATCTGAGCAATGCCATTGCTATCGCCAAGCTGAAAATAGCTGCTGACAAAAGCCTGGCATTTTGTTCCCTTGTGTCCACTTGTGAGTAGGTGGACAACAATGCAGCCCCTCAGATGACACCTACAGCACATTCCTGAATGCAGCCTAATGGATCATAAATAAAGATGAAAGCTCAGTAGTTGCTGGAGTGTTGCTTGGATGTGGAACGTAAGAATCCTGAAATGAGAGCTTAGTCATAGTCACATTGCCAAAAATAATTTACCAAAATAATTGAAAATGTTTATCAATATTTATGTGTGTGTGTGTCTATGTTTGTATTTAGCCCCTGTGAGTTTAAGTATTTGCAGAGCAAGATGCTTCTTTTAGTTTGTGACTTTCTTTGGTGGCAAAACAAGCTCAAACACCACTGCATTTCATGTAATTAAGTAAATTAGCTTATTTTTATGGTTATAAATGGGCTTTCCAGAGTTCTAAGTTGATTGTAGTGTGGTCTTTTTTTTTTCCCCACAGTTTCTTTCACCACTTTCACTTGTCACTAATGAGTGTGGGGTCATCCAGAAGAAGTTGTCCTCCCTCCTGCTGGATTCCAGGCCTTATACCCTATCTGACAGTATCTCTCATTCAGAAAGCAAGATCAAGTGTTCATGCCCCTTGCTGATTAAATACCATTTTCCCCTTCTTCAGAGTCCTTCTCTGACCAAAAACACCCCAACAAAAAACTACCACTGTACAATGTATTACACAACTCCAGTAATTTAATTTCATTAAACAAAAACAAAGTCAAAATGTTTGTAATTTGTCTGAACAAACAGCTTTTACAATATAACATAAATCTTAACTTACATACAATTTTTTTTTTGTTGAAGACTTTTTTGAACTAACTTTACAGAAGAGGAACACTGAACATAGGAGCAAGATAAATTCTAACTCTGGCCTTTTAGTAAAACAAAATATAACAGTATATGGTAAAACAAAATAAAACAGTACTTTCTTTGTGCAAAACATGTACTGATAGACTGTACCTTTCTGTACGAAGACAATTTCAGCTTACTTTGCATAGCAGAAAAGCAACACGAGACATGAGATACAAAACTCAGTTTCTATAACACTTTAGGTAAGCCTTGTGTAAAAATACTTAGCCCTAACTTTCTCAGTAAAGCCAGTTTTAATTCTAAAGCATTCAGGCAATTCCAGCATTGTTGTCTTGTCAATTCACATCCAAAACACACCTTGTCCATTGTAGAGCTCATTGTGTGCAGTGTATTATCAGTAATTATGCCTGCTAAAACAGTCAGTCACTCAATATCCAAAGATCAGTTTTCTGAGACTTCAAGTTTTCATTGAGGAATACATGAGGTCCCTTGAGAGATTGTATCAGTGCCACATGAGGGCCACAAAGATGGCAAAGGGCCTGGAGCATCTCTCCTATGAAGAAAGGCTGAGTGAACTGGGTCTGTTCAGCCTTGAGAAAAGAAGACTGAGAGGGGACCTGATCCAGGTCTATAAATATCTGAGGTGTGGGGGGCAGAATGGCGAGGCCGGACTGTTTTCAGTGGTGAGTGGAGACAGGACAAGGGGAAACGGCTGGAAACTGCAGCATAGGAAGTTCCACACAAATGTGCACAAGAACTTCTTTACAGTGAGGTGACGGAGCACTGGAACAGGCTGCCCAGGGAGGTGGTGGAGTCTCCTTCTCTGGAGATGTTCAAGACCTGCCTGGATGCCGACCTGTGCGGCCTGCTGTAGGGAACCTGCTTTGG